AAGCAGTTCATTCCCCACCTCTCCCTCTCAAGCTCTACTTCTTCTTTCTTGTATTGTAGTCTTTCTGTCTTCTTGAAAGCTGCTCTTTATGTTCCATCTACTGATGAGAAACATTATCCACTCATCCAGACCATCCCTTCACCCTCTCACTCCCTGACTTCCGTTTGCTCTTTTCCTTTCAAAGATCTTTATAAAATCACTTCTTCTTTGTAATTTCCTCCTCTGGTTCCTGTCTTAGATTCTGTCTGTCCTCAGTTTCTGACGGCGCACGTCTGTATCATCTGCTGTCAAAGGGTGGAGCCAGAAAAGTGTTTGTCTGTTAACAAATTATCTCGTGAACCACTGGACAGATTTTAATGAAACTTTCAGAAAGTAATCATTAGATGTTCATCTACAACTGATTGGAGTCACCCCAATTCAAGCTGGTTCCCACAGCCAACTGAGCTTAATAAACACAAGAATGGGTACAACTCAGTCAGAATCTTAAATAATGGCACACAGTTTGGTGTGGTAGTAGCTGAGGCTAACCCGCTATAACCATCATATTCACTGCTCTTTTACTGTTAATTGGAAATGATATTAAAATGTTCTGTGATCCTTTATGTAATAATCAGTCTTCATGTGACCGGTCAGTGAAGGGACAGCAAGAGATGGTTTTTATTATTCTCAAGATTTGATTGATATGATTACAGTGGCATGTTTTTTTCGAGAGTCCTTCGCTTTCCAGATTCCCTCCTTGCTTCTGACGGCAGCTGGGGTCTGATAAGCTGGACAGGGCGGGGTGGCTGGAAGTTTCAACAAAACAGATTTTTTTTTTCTGCTCAGGAAGTCAGAACAGGTCAGAGCCTCAGACAGGTGAAAGCACTGACAAGTGTGAATTTGTAAATGCATTGATCTGTGATTGCTGGCTGTATGAGGTGCCGTTTGTAAAGTTACACAGTCAAAAGTTAACAAGAATATTTTGTTTTTTTTAGCCTTTTATAAGAATAAAATAGGATTTTTTGTTTCAAAGTAATATTTTCACCATGTTCTTCATACATTTATAAATGTCATGATTCCAAACTAAATATTTATTTTACAAGTTAAATATTTAGTTTACGAAGTAAGTATTTAACTTGCGAGTTCAATATTTAGTTAGCAAGCTAAATATTGAGTTTACAAACTAAATGTTTATGTCCAAGCTCAATGTTTAATTTACCAACTAAATATAGTGAACTAAATATTTAGGTGTAAATTAAATATTTAATTTCAAAGCAAAATATTTTGTTTTCAAAACTAAACATTTATTTTCCAAACTAAACATTTAATTTCCAAGCTAAACATTTAATTCTTAAACTAAATATTTAATTTGCTCACTAAATATTTAGCTCCGACCTAAATATTTATTTTCCAACCTAAACATTTATTTTCCAAAATAAATATGTAATTTGCTACCTAAATATTTAACTAGCTAGCAAGTTAAATATGTAGATTTGATTAGCTAATTAAGTATTTAGTTTAGGAATTAAATGTTTAACTTAGAAATTAAATGTTTGGTTTTGAAAAGAAACATTGAGCTTGTAAATTAAATATTTAATTTACACCTAAATATTTAGTTCACAAACTAAACATTTAACTTACAAGTTAAATATTTAGTTTATAAATTAAACATTTAGCTTGGACATAAACATTGAGTTTGTAAACTAAATGTTTAGCATGGAGCTAAATATTTAGCTTGCTTACTAAATATTTAACTCGCAAGTTAATTATTTAGTTTGTAAACTAAATATTTAGCTTGTAAATAAATATTTAATTTGGAACTATGACATTTATAAATGTATAAATAACATGGTGAAAAGCTAACTGGAAAAAAAAAAACTTTATTTTTCTTATGAAAGTCTAAATAAACCAAAATATTGCTATTAATTTTGACTGAAGTGTAACTTTACAAACGGCACCCTATAGCTGTTCTCCAAAGCTTTGTAATAAATCGGATGAAGACTACACCTGGTTGTTTTGGGAGTAGCTTTTTTCCACAACACCCATGACAGTCTGAGCACTAATAGGTTGTGCATGATGCTTATTTAAATTTGCCATTAATTATTTAGGCTCTACTCTCTTCTGAGCCACTGGGTGAAACTTTACAACTCATTCAGATATGGAGCCAATCCAGTTGAAGATGGCCGCCACAGGCAGCTGAAATTTAAGATCACAAAGATGCTCACATTTTGTTAATTTTACAGATATTTAGACAAAACTTTGTGTGATGGTAGCTGAGAGTCATTCACCAGATCTTGTTATATCCCATGATGTTATTTTCAACGTTCACACGAAACGACCTCGACTCCGACCGTTCTCAACAAAAGATATTATTAGTCCAAAACTCTGACATAAAAGGCAGCAAGGAGCACCACCTCTTGACTTTATTTGTTTGTGTCTCCTCTCTAATTTCAAGGCAGATGTTGGCTCGAGCTGATTCGTGTTTATCAAAGAGACCTCGCCAGTGATCCCTAGTCATGTGAGGAAAATGGCCGACAATATATGCAACTGCCATCAAATTTTCAGGTCCAGCGATTTCAAACGGAAAAGCAATTAGGATTTGGAATTAGTCTTCAAATTAAATAGGAATTAAGCGAGCTCGGTTTACCCTTGCAGGCATTGCGTTTCGTCTTTGGAGCCGAAATCATCCCATTATCACATCACAGAATCCTGAAACCAACATGTGGTTCATCTCCACGCTGCAGGACTGGAAAGGTTCATTATCCACTGACACCGCCCTATGTGCTGTGATTGTTTTGCGTTTTCTCTCTCGCTCTCTTTGGACTCTCCTCTTCTTTTGCTTGCTGGTCAGAGTGACAAATCCTGCTTTGAAACTTAATGAAGTTTGAAATAAAATTTGAGGCTGCAATTATCCTGTCCGTGCAGGCTGTCACAGGAACGATGGTGCCATCGAAACCCAATTATAAGAACGGGAACCCTTTAAGTGCTCAGACCCATGGGGAACCACCAACTCTTCAGTGCATCCACAGTTCCTCAGCGACATTGATGATTAGGAAGGTTGTGAAGCAAAACCGGACTCCCGTGTCTTATTCTCTGGTGATTATTTGTGATTACATAAAAATCTTAAATCCTGCAAACTGATGCAAACAGAATTTGTTGAACCAGCATTGTGAAAAATAAATATTATAATGAAGGAATGAGCATTTCTTAAGGAGTGACGCCAGAGTTGTGTTGAGAAATGACCTACGCTAGGCTAAAGTTAATTAGCTGTGGCAGCCATCTTGACCGGAGGTGACTCCGAACATTGGTGTTAATCAGTCGTAGATGTACAACCATTACATTCTGAGAGCTTCACTGAAACAGATTCAATGTTTTCTATGATTTTTTTTTTTTTTTTGCTAACATACAGTTATATCTGATTCCACCAACTAATGTTAAGGTTTTAGGCAGAGACTTTGCTCCATGTGCTGCACTCAAAGTTTATGTAGGGGATGATGCTCAGCTGATACCACACCAAATTGTAGATTCAAAAACAGTTGAATTTGAACCATTTTTGTTTTCAGAGGTCAATTAGCTGTGACGGCCATCTTGAACTTGGTTGAGTCCTAAGTTAAGCAGTTATAAATGTACGAATAATCCCTATTTTCTAAACATGTGATTAAAATCTGAAGTAGTTTATGTGATATGTTGATAAAGAGTTGATTCCAACATTTATTAGCAAATTTTTAGACATAGATCTGATCACGAGTCCCACTCAGCTACCACCACACCAATATTTAATCAATATTTGTCAACTCTACTGAGCTATAACCATTTTGTGTTGGCTAGGATTGTTTTGCTGTGGCGGCCATCTTGAACTGAATTGACTACAAAAGATAAATAGCTGTAGATGTCAAGCCAATGAATGTTATCTGAAAGATTCATTAACGTGCATCTGGTGGTTCATGGTTATTTTGCTAACACTACAGACAGGTAAATGAGAAAATATTATTCATAACTTTTCATCTTTGGTGGTGGACAATAAGCCTTTTCAACATCAATTTGCTGCCTCACACTCCACCTTGATTTTTCTGTTCCCATGTCCTTCTTTTTCCTTTTTAATTTCCTTCCTTCCTTCCCATTGAAGAGTTCTCCAGCCCTCTCTCCACGCCGCTCTCCTCCTGCACGCTGACGCTCCTTCCTCTCTCAGTGGCAGCAGCAGCCTGTAAATGGCTGCCTGATGGAAAGTGACATTTTCACAGAACCCTGAGAGAGAGGCGAGGTGATCTCTCCTCTTTTCAGCACAAAGTGCTCCTAATTGCCTGGTTGCATTTGTGAGCCCAGCTGACAAACTGGTGCAAATCAATAATTGTGCTCCGGGACACGGGGCTCCCCCCGCTCCACGCTGAGATGACACAAACAAGCACATGCATACAAATGAAGCCAGGAAGCAAATGTAGACGTACATAGATCCACTCTGTCTCGCCGCCTCGGTGCTGTCTGCTTTAACAGACAGTGTTTATCTGTGAGTCTAAGACAAATGGGGAGAGAGTATCAAAGCATTAAGAGCGGCCACGGCTCTGCTGAAGGCTCAAATAATGGATGGTGGAAATGGTAGAAGACCCCGTGCTGCTCATTTCTAAATGGCCTCTGCAGAGGTGGAAACTCTGCCCCGCCAGCTTGAAATAACCAAAGGACAAATCAGCCCAGCTGATAAAAGGAGCCTATTTAACCGACTTTTCATCCTCTCCGCTCTGCATCGCCTCGTACTCCTTAAATTTTGTTTTCCCGAACAAAAAATGTCACAGCAATTTGGAAACTTTGACTTTTTTCAGGTTTATAAAGGGCTTTGCATTATCTCTGAGTGCTCTTTATTATTTCCTACATATTCAGTAATGACATTTTCAAAACCTGTATTTTCTCTGTGTACGTCCTAAAATGAGAAATGGATCTTAAGAATAATTTTTCTTTTCTTTTTTTTTCTTCCGAAGCTTGAACCACTTTGACTTTTTGGCTTTACATGGTTGTCCTTCTCTTCTCAGACTCCTCCGTGATGCAGGTGACGGCTACAGACTCCGACGACTCCACCACAGCGAACGGCATGGTGCATTACCGCATCCTGTCGCAGACCCCCCACAGCCCCATTCCCAACATGTTCGCCATCAACAGCGAGACCGGAGTCATCTCTACATTGGCTGCCGGCCTGGACAGAGAGGTCAGTGCACTCGCTGGGTCTCTCATCAGTTTGCCGCTACGTTTCTTGTTTGTGCTAACCAGCTGAAAGATGAAACTGTCCCCAAGGTTCAGTGTTGTTGGTGCCTCGTTTATTACTGGTCATAATATATCATATATGATGTAGTTTAAAGGGAACTTTTGCTCCTGCGTTGCTACTCTTTTTAATGCAGAGGTTACATCAAAGAACGACGTGATCTATGTCTATCGCTCATGTTTGAAGGCAAGCTTCCTTGTTGTGCAAACCCGATTAAAAATGAGAAAAAAAATTCTTAAAGTCAGCAAAATAGTTGTCAGCAACATGCTCAGGGAGAGGATGTATAAATGATTAGGGAACTCATCGTTGCTGTAAAACAAATCCTCAGAATGGTACGTTTCTACGACCAATGGTTAAATTAGGTAAACCACATTTTTGGTCCACCTACAAAGAATATATTCAGCTTCAGAATAGAAGTCCAGTTGTTTTTGTTTTAAACCTTTTATTGCATAAATCATGACCTGGATGGCTGAGAACCTTCACCAGAATATACAAAAGGATGTTGTTTCTTAGAATCTCATTTTGGGCTACAGTTAACAGGCTGCAACAGCTGCTTCTGCTTTCTGATTATCCCACTTGGTCAGTGATTAGGTATGCACAAGCTCCTGGACGATACATAAACTAGAAGCTCTGCCTGCTATACTAAATACAGGTACATGTACAGTAGCTGTGCACAATGCATGGTGAAATAAGCAGCCTTGATGATGTCACTGCACAGTAGATGTATTTATGTGCACAAGGGGCCAAATAAATAACTTCACCAGAAAATTTCCACAGGTCCAAAAATCCCTATTTATTTCTGGCATTTTCCTGTAAAAACTGCAAAATACAGAAAGTCATCAGTCGTTTGAACTTTCTGAAATAAAATGACAACATTTGCTCATTAGTAGCACACGTTTGAGGGAATTCTCGCCTTTCTAAAAGTAACTGGAATATTTCATGCTTATCTGAGTGGAGAGCATGGACTAAGATAATGGCCACATAAATCCAGCCCATCTCTGCTGGTGAGGTCACAAGATGGTTCGTTTCATTCTTCTCCTTTGTCTCATCCACGACGTGTGTGTCTGTTGCTTCCAGTAGTTGTTTGCCAACCCACACACCGGCAGCACCACAGCGCACGTCGTCCCTGCTCCGTCTTCCATCTCATCCTGCTAATGAGGGAGGTCACCAAGATCAACTTCTGTTTATCCCAAGCGGGGTCCGGTTACTGCTCACACACAGACACACAAATCTATCCTCGGTTTTCCACGCTGCAACATAATGGAAATAAAATCTGGCTAAATGAGGAAGCGTAGAAATTCCTGTGCCATCGTTATTAGGATATTCTCGTCCTCGTAACTTAGCTGGCTGATTTTACTGCACCGCTGAGCATGTCTCATAATGTTTATATTCTGAGAGGTCCCACCGGTCGTTCTGGGCATTAAACCTGGAAGTTTAAACAGGTTTTTACCGACAGAGAATTGAGTGCATTTAGAGAATAATTACTGTTAATATCTCAAGAACAAAACCAGCTTTTATGCCAGGAGAAACAATACATCAGTGTCTCTCTTTTATCCAATTTTTGTATAGAGCTGGCACGGTATGATAGTACAGCACCATTGTGGGATAGTATAAATGAGTGGAGTGAATGCACGCCAGGACTTTGTCCCTGTTTTCAGCTTGGCTTGAAAGCAGCCAAAGCAGCAGTAGCAGCTGATGTGAGTGAGGAGAAGCTCATTAATCTGGTCGCAGCAAGTCAGGCGCAGTCCCACCTGCCCCGTGATCCTCCCACCAAAACTGGGGCACACCTGGGAGTTCACCCACCTGCTGTCAAGGTCATCGGCATGAACGAGCAGCACACGGGCTCGCACACGTATGCTCTTTCTAAACGCACTAAGGCTCACGCAGAGGGAGGAGGAACAGCGGGATGAGAGCGCGGGTGTTGCACTCGATCTGAGCAGCTAAAGTGATGTGTGTCATGCAAAGACATGAACATTACACACTCACTGGGCTGACAGTGTATACGCTGTAAGAGCCGGTGTAGGACATATACTTATGTTCTGTATCCTCTCACATGCTTTCAGACTTAAGCTAATCCCCCTCTGCCATGCTGGTGTCTAATTATAATATTCATGGGCTAACGAAGTAGGTTATCCTGCACTGAGGACAACGGGAGGGGGGGGGGGGTGTCTTAGTCAAGTGTCACTTACCTCTGACTCTGTACAATGTACACCAATTATTCTTCTTCGCTCTGTCACTTCACATGCTTCAGTCCACAAACCAGCAGGCTAACTCATCAACATGTTGCTTACTTGTTCAGACTCTGATTTAGGGTTCCATGGGAAAGTTACGAACAATCAATATATTGCATGTTGTAGATAGCTCTGCAGCTCCAAGTCACATATATATCATTTTACCAAACTTGGATTGCTCACTTCAGGTCGAGGGTGAGGTTCTGCCTCAAGTGGAGGAGTTCAAGTATCTCTGGATTTTGTTCATGAGTGAGGGAAGAATGGAGCATGAGACTGACAGATGGATTGGTGCAGCATCTGCAGTATTGCAAACTCTGTGCCGGTCCGTTGTGGTGAAGAGGGAGCTGAGCTGTAAGGCAAAGCTCTCTGTTTACCGGTCGGTCTACATTCCTACCCTCATCTATGGTCATGAACTCTGAGTAGTGACCGGAAGAATGAGATCATTGATACAGGTGGATGAAATGGGTTTCCTCTGCAGAGTAGCTGGACTCTCCCTTAGAGAGAGGGTGAGAAGTTCAGTTATCAGGAGAGACTCAGCATAGAACTGCTGCTCCTCCTCATCGAGAGGAGACAGTCGAGGTGTTCTGGTAAGTATGCTTTAGGCATGTCTGACTGGGAGGACACCCCTGGGAAGTCCCAGGACACGCTGGAGAGACTATGTCTCTGGGTTGGACAGAGAACACCTTGGAGTCCTCCCAGAAGAGCTGGAAGAGGTAACTGTGGAAAGAGATTTCATTTACCCTTTATTTATACAGGTAGTATCATTAAGCCCAGAGAACTCATTTTCAAAAGAGACCTGTTTAGGGAGCAGATGGTGGGGGTTAAGGGCCTTGCTCATGGGCCCAGAGTGGAGCGAATGAGGGTGGGGGCAAGTGTGGGTGCTTCACCTACCCCACCCACATTTTTGATGTTGTCGGTACCAGGGCATGAACCGGCAATCTTCCGATCACAGGCCCACCTCTCTAACCTCTGCGCCACCACTCCCCCAAGTCTGGACCTCCCTGCTCAATCTGCTGCCCCCAACTTCAGAACAAGTGGGAGATAATGGATAAATGGATGGATGGATGGATGGATGGATGGATGGATGGATGGATGGATTGATGGATGGATGCCAAACTGGCTTGTTGAGTAAGCTTTATCAAGTTCAAGAGTTAGTATCAACATCTAACGTTGGAAAATGTATTTGTCCATTTATAACAAGTTATAACCATAACCGGTTACAACAAGTTACAACAGGTTATACAAGTTATAACAGAGTATAACAGTTTATAACAGATTATACAGGTTATAATAGGTTATAATAGACTGTAACAGATTATAACAGATTATACAGATTATAATAGGTTATAACAGATTATAACAGGTTATAACAGATTATGTAGGTTATAACAGGTAGGTTTTATTGGCTGGATTAAAAGCCTCCCAAAATGTGATGTAAATTGATTGACTATAGTTGGTTTAAAATGTGCTTCTTGTATTTTCCCAGGTACAAGAAATCCTGAACACGTCACACTTCTGTTAAAATAAATGTGTAAAGGCTAGTATTTATTTAAGGGATGTTCTGGGAAATTTTCTATGACAAATCTCAGAAATCTTCTTTCAAGCTAGGCTAATGGCTAACCCCTCTCTTTTGTTTATCAGGCTTGTAAAACAACTATTATAATTTAAACTGCCATACAGGTGTGAAAGAAGTTAGCTTATGTTAAACTTATACAATCGTAGGCCTTTTTGTTCAGTTTGTTTCTGTTTTCTCCACCAAACTTTGTCTGTGTTGTTACACTGATGTCAGCCTCCTGAGGTCGTTCAGTCCAGCAGGAGTTGAGTTAACCTTTGGACTGACGAGATGAGCTGCTCAGGTGGATTGATGCATGTCGCAGCCTCTGAGATCAACATTTGCATTGAGAAAAAAGTAACAAACCAAACACACTGTTTCATGCAAAAGTGTTATTTAACATTAACCAGTGTGGCATTCTTTCACTGCACTCTTGTTTTTAAGAAAGTGTTGTTTTCATCCATCCTGTTATGATTATGGGCAACCCAGTTGATAACGAGACCCGAAACGAC